TTCCTTACCTAGAACATCAGAGTGAGTTGAGGTTGATAGAATTGGGAAAGAAAATGAAAACCTATATCATAGCAGTGTTAGTATTAACCAAAGCAAAAATCCACCATCGAGAAGGTAAGCAAGTATGATAGTGTGGGTGCTTTTTCCTTTTGTTGAAACAGTGAAAATGTCCATGTTTGATTACCAGGTGTTGTTTCCTAAGGGATCTGGCATGGGCCATTCTGCAAAGTTATGTTCTGGGTGAAAACTTCACAGTCATTCATTCACACATTCCACAGGCGATGCTACTTTTGGCCAGGTCCTGTAAAACTGAAAGGAATAGTTCCCCATCTGGAATCTCTTGTGGGCCAAGAACAAGCAGTAGAACATCTAAAAAGCTCTTTAGCTTAGGGGATGGAGGCAGGTGAGAGTAAGACTAAGGCTTCTGTTTCTCTAAATTGATGGAAATATTTACTCGCTGGTCTGTTCATATCTCTTGATGCAGGAGCTCCCCCTACAGGCTTCAGCTGCTGTGAGATGCTGGGTGGGGAAGCTAAGCCATTGGAAGAATGGCTGTAAGACTTGAGTATGTTAACCATCACAGGCAGCACATAACCTCAGTTTTAATGATACTGCATTATGGCACAGCTGTGCTGGCTGTGTGGGAGCTAAATCAGACTTGCTCAGAGTCCTGTTACTTATATTCACTAGGTATAGTGGCCCGGCAGGGAAATATGACTCCAGAACAACAACAACAACAACAACAACAGAAACACAGACTATGGATTACAACTTACTTGGTGCCTGAGATTCCCCCTAATGATAAGTCTAGTGTATTCGTACTATAGTGTGGCCCAACTCTACTATCTGCAGAAGATAAGATTTGATTCACAGCCTATGACGTTCCTGAAAGAAGAGGCATCTAGCAGGTTATAGCCTCATAATTTGGAAACTAAGATTTTTCTGAGAGATGAAAGAGCTGTATATCCATGACTGTGTGGAAAGGGGGAACGACGTGTGACAGGAAGATGCTGAAACACCATTGATGGTGTGGGCGTCACACACTGGGAGCTCCAGGACAGAAAGGACAGTAGGTTTCCCACAAGGCCAGCCCCTGGTGGTTAGCTTCCAGAGGCGCCTGAGTGATGAGAGTGACAGGAGACTGGGAGAATCTGAAGGAGTTCAGTGTCCACTGGGCACTCACAGCGCTGGCCCTAAGTCCACTGCTTTCAATGTTTCTGTATCTGAGGAGGATGGGTGTTAATTTGGTTAATACTAAAAATGTCACATTCTTTCTTAAAGGAGTTTAAAATTTTTAATGAAAATGATCTGTTTTTATATCCTTAATTTAAAAATAAAACAATTTGTGGCATACCAAGAATACAAGAGGCACATGTAGTTCTACTGATGCTGTTACTCTAACCATTGTTCTATCAGCCCATTTTTACAAGCCTTTAATTCCTGTGTTCTTCCCTATTGATGGCTGCCAACAGTGTAGTGATATTTTCTTACGTCCATCGATGAGATTTTGTTGTGTATTGTTCATGGATTTTAAAAAATGTTATTGAAAGTGCTGTATGGAAATATTAGGGATATAAAAAAGTTGAAAGACTAGTGGCATGCACTCTCATTTACTTCTCATGCTTCCCTAAAAACTAGTAGATATTTTGTTATCTGAATTCCTGATTCCTCTTACTGCTTGATTCTGAAGCAATTTTCAGGAAACATCCATATAAAGCTTTAGCCCTTATGTCTCAAGCCACAATAACTCTTTCAATAACATAATTGTTACAGTTTATACAATCTGAAAAATATTAACAATTCAAATTTTCCAGCTTGGCTTATAAATTGGCTACGGCTGATTTGCTTAAATTGGGAGCTGAACAGTGTTCACGTATTACATTTGATTGAGGTACCTTTTAAATCTCTTTTAATCACAGCTTACCCTTCTTGTATTCCCCTTGTGATTTCTTTGTGAATGTGTTATTTGTGCTTGATGACTTTTAAATTCTTGGTCTATTTATTTAGTAGGGAAAGGCAGAGATAGCTACAAAGAGCTATCTCTAAGTACTGCCATACGCCTGCTTCCCCCCAGGTATGCCCACTAGCTGGGCCCCAGAGCTGAGAGCCAAGGAGCCAGTACAGGTCTCCCACTTGGATGGCAGGAGCCAGAAGGTGTGCTACCTTCCAGGGTTAGCATTAGTAGAAAGAAAGCTGCAGTCGGGGGGTGGTGCCGTGGTCCACGGCTATGTACGCTGCTATAGCATGCAGGTGTCTTGACTGCGAGGCCTATTGCCTGTCCTGTGCTTTGGCTGGTGTACCATTTGGTGTTGTGAAAATCCTTCTCCAGCAGCTACTTCTGTAAACTGTAAGATCTAGAGACCTGTTCTGATCAGGGTCTTGTTTTTCTTTTCCAGAATGTTCTCAGGTGAGATCATGCATTCTGCACGTATCACAAAGCAGGAAGCACAGGGTTGGTGGGTGGCCACATCCTCCCAAGGTCTTTGCCTCATCGGGGAGGTAGAGAGGTGGGTAGAAACCCAAGCAAGGAAGCCATGATATCTGAGATGTTCTTGGAGCCAGTGAGCAAAGCAGACAATTCGAAGTTTTGGATAAAGCATTAAATAATTCTGGGTGAAACCTGTTCAGCTGCATTTACCTGTTTTCAATTTTATTGGAGAGTACCAAAATGTTTGCAAGAGAGAAGACATACTCCTTTTAAGCTATAAGCAGTTATGTGAAGTCATCAGATGTAGTGGAAGCCCATGTGCCGTTAAGTTGCCTTGGGTTCCTTTTAAGTGTTTCAGAGGTACTCAAGAAAGGTCTGTGGAGGCATGGCATACAGGACATCTGTATGCTTCCTGTGGGGTTCTTGATATTGGGGTGACCATTTAAGTGAGGAGGAATCTGGGATTTGTCGGAGCTGAGAGTCAGTTAAGAGAGAGGTGTTGAAGAACTTGCATCTTCAGACAAGCTGAATAATAAGAGGAAGGGATGGAGACGAGGATCTGAAAGCACTCTACTAAGATTTCTGTTAAACCAAAGAGAAATTGTGATTCTGAAAGCAGAGATTAGAATAATTCGTTCAGTATTTTAAAAGCTTTTCTCTTTTATTTTTACAGAGAAGTCCCAACATTTTGAAAGGTGTTAAGATTTAAAACCTGGCTCTGGGCTCTGGCATTGCCACCACCTGCAATTGCAACATCCCTTATGAGTGCTAGTTCAAGTCCAAGCTGCTCCGTGTCCCTTACAGTTACAAGTAGACTGTTTACATTTTTAAAGTAAATTTGTCAAGCTCTTATGGCCACTGGATAATCAATTGTTTTCATTCCCCCAGTGAGATTCTCCATGCTCGTTAGTAGTTAATCCGTGTTCTGATCTCTGGCCCCTGGCAACAAGTAATCTACTTTCTCTGTGTAGATTTGTCTAGTCTGAACATTTCATCTAAATGGTGTCATATAGCACATCTGGCTTCTTTTACTGAGGGTGCTGTGTCTGAGTTCCTGCATCCTGTAGTAGGCATTTGTGGCTTGTTCCTTGTTAGTGCTGACTATACCACATTTGGTCTCTCCATTCACCGGTTGTTGGATATCAGATTATTTCCATTCGGGTCTGTTCTGAATAGTACTGTTAAGGATATTGCTATGCAAGATGGTGTGTTGACATATGTTTTTGTTTTCCTTGGCTGTGTGCCTAGTGCTGAAATTGCTGGATCATGTGGCAAATTGATGTTGAAGAAACCAAAGGGTCTGCCCCAGCCCTGATGAAGTTTCTTGTTTTACCACATCTGCATAGCCCTGTTTCTTACGACTTGGGCAGACTTCACTTTCCTCTGTAGTAAATGGGTAGGTGGGGATCTGATGTTGACCAAGTGCCTACTCAGTGTTAGACCTTATGATAGATGTGGTCTCACTTATCTCTGAAATATCTATCTCATTTTGTATATGTTTGAGGAATTTACTGAAGTTTAGTGAAATTAGTTAAACTTGTCATCATTGTGACCCTGTGGGATTGTTGTGGATACATACACAGAGTGACTGACAAGTTTTTATTCCTCTGATTTTTTTTTTTCTGTCAGCAGCTTTTCATCTTTTATGTCTCGGATTCTTTCCACTATTAGTGTTGGGTGCCACCACTTTTCTGGTTCTAGTTGCCTGCTGTGAGACTCATGCCTTAGAGACATGGAAAAAGCTTTTACAGCATTTACCCTGAGATCAGCCACTCTAATGGCAGAAATGTCACAGATCAGTCGTTATTGAAAATGGCATCACTTATGTAAAACTAAGAAAGTTGGGCCGGTGCAATGGCTCAGTTAGTTAATCCTCCCCCTTCAAGCACTGGGATCTGTATGGACGCCAGTTTATGTTCCAGCTGCTCCACTTCCCATCCAGCTCCCTGCTTATGGCCTGGGAAAGCAGAGGAGGATGGTGCAAAGCCTTGGGATCCTGCACCCACATGAGAGACCCGAAAGAAGCTCTGAGCTTCGGATCAGCTCAGCTCTGGCTGTTGTGACAGCTTGGGGAGTAAACCAGCAGATGGAAGATCTTTCTCCCAGTCTCTCCTTCTCTATGTAGATCTGCTTTCCAATACAAATAAATAAATCTTAAAAAATATGAAGGCAACAGGTTCACGCTGTTGTTACAGCTCTTAATGGTTATTCTCATACTCTTCTTTTGTCCCCTGCTCACAATAATAATAAGTGCCTTTCCCAATCCAACAGAGTGCTGAAAAATGTGTGGATTCGTGTTGCCAAGAAACCAGATGAACTGATTTAGAAAATGGACCTGTGTCTGTTGGTTTAAAATTGGTGTAAGTGGCAATAGGACATGAAGCAAAGGAAGAGAGCTTTTCATGACCACAGAGGAATGTGATCAATGAGAAAGGGGCTCAATTAAGTAGGTGTTAAATTCACGAGATTTTTAACCTTGACAAGACAGTTTGGAAGATATATTTGAATATGAAATATATCACATGACAATTTTTAAAATGATTGGTGATTTGTCATCCATGTGTTTTTGCAGGGAGAGCCTGGGGTCAGAGGTCCTCCTGGCCCCCCTGGGCCTCGGGGCACAGGACTACAAGGGCCAAAGGTGAGTCGTCTGGTCTGTGCTCTGTGTGAGGGTCTGCTGCCAACAGTGACAACCATGTCAACAGTAACTTCACAGGAAATGTTCCCTGGGGTGTTGGTTTTTATTATTATTATTGGTGAATGGTCCTGTCTGTTCATATCTTGTGAACTTTTTATAAAAAAGAATATTGGATTTGATTACACAATTTGCTTCTCCCAAAGAAGTTAGAGTTTCTGTTAAGTATTTGCAAAGCTCTTAGAATATTTCTGAGTTTCCAAGAGGCTGTGCCATCATCAAGAAACGCATCCTTACTACAGCCAGAAGAGCCTCCAGGTCCCTAGTTAATGTGTCTGTGCGTATGAATGCTGCGTCCACTCTATCAGAGCCTCAGTCCAAGGGATCCAATTTTCTGCCCTTGTAGAGAGTAAGGAGGAACTTCTGGTCCCTTTGTTGTCACTTCTGCTCTTCTTGTGTCCCCCAGTTTGGTATTTGTTTTTCATTCTTGTATTTCTTAACCTGGTGTCTCCCCTCTTTACCCAAGGGGGCACCTGGCAATGCTCTGGTGCCTTTCTGACTGCTGCAGCTCTGAGTGCTCCTGGTACCTGGTAGGAGGAGTCCATGACGCTGCTGCTGATGCTCAGTGTCCAAGGCAGCTCCGTAATGCAGAATTACCCAGATCCAAGTGTCACTAGTGCCAAGTTGGGGACACCTGCTTTCATGGTTCATTTACCTGTTCAGCATTTTTTTGTGAGAGCAGTTGTTTGTGAGCTATTTGTCATGAATTCAAATATCAGACAGCACAATCACACCCAGGTGCATGGAAGCAAATTGGAATCCCATCAGCAGAAATAAAAGGAAAAAGATATTGTGAGCCAATGATTTTACTGAGAATCCCAGAATAGTTGGCTCTGGGGGAAGTTCTCCCCAGGAAGTCAACAGTCACAGGGACTGGATGATGGGAAGACAGGTCTGTTTTTCTGCAATGTCATTTTCGTTTCTGTTTTTTAAAATGCATTTGCATTGAGTAAGTGTTTTTTCCTTAAAATTAGAAAAAAAAACACTTTTGTTAGAAAAAAGACTGACTTATATAGTAACATATTAATGCAACATTCCTTAAAGGTTTTTCTATCCAGTGATAATTTAGCAACTCCTGGGATAAGCAAAGGCAAACTAATTTCTCTTTTGTAGAACTTCTTGGGACCTTCTCTCTGTGGATGTGCAAGGGAGGTATCTGGGGAGACAGTTTTCCTATCTCATTCTGCTACAAAAGTCTTCCCCGATGATATGTGAGGTCAGCTATGCACACCTTCTGAAACATGCTGCCCTTGCTTATTTCATCTAGAAATTTCCTCTGGAAATCTAGCACCTGAGGTGGGCAGGTGCCCTTGCATTCCCTAGTGAAGTACTTGGATGGGAAGTACTCCAGCTCACCACCTCCAGCTTCCTGCTAATGCGGATGCTGGGGAGGCAGTGATGAGGGCAGAGCTCTCCGTTCCCTCCCAGCCACGTGGGAGACCTGCTGTGTTCCTGGCTTTCACTAAGGGCTAGCTGGCTGCTGCGGGCATTTGCAGAGGGAACCACCCAGCAGGAGCTCTTTCCATTTGTCTCCCTTTGTCTCTTTCTGAGTGTCTCTTCCATAGATGACAAAATTTTAAAAATCTAATGTTATCCACATCAGTATCTACTGCTTCTTTAGCTATAGGCCCCAGGGGATGGTTGCTCTGGATTGAAATGAAGTGAGCCTAAATAGGATTCTGTGTCGATGTCACTTGCCCCAGTGCAGGGCAGCCTTGCTCTTCCAGGCTCCGTGGTGGGGCAGGGGAAATGGAGTAGACGATGTGCTGGTGTCTTCCCTGCTGCACACGGCAATCAGCTCTTTATTTGCTGTTTGGGTTTTATGCAAGACTTTGTGTGCACGTGATTCTGTGGATTGAAATAGTCAGCAAAAAGCTAACTAGGGCCTAGTGCGGTGGGCTAGTGGCTAAAGTCCTTGCCTTGCACACACCAGGGTCCCATATGGGCACTTGCTCCCAGGCAGCCCCACTTCCCATCTAGCTCCCTGCTTGTGGCCTAGGAAGGCAGTCGAGGATGGCCCAAAGCCTTGGGACCCTGCATCCCAAGTGGGAGACCCGGAAGAGGTTCCGGGCTCCTGGCTTTGGATTGGAGCAGCTCCATTTGTTGCAGCCACTTGGGGAGTGAATCATCAGATGGAAGATCTTCCTCTCTGTATATTTGACTTTCCAATAAAAATAAATAAATCTTTAAGGAAAAAAAGTAAATACAATGTGAAGTAGTAGTAATAGTACGATACTTCATTGCTTTCACTCCTCTTACACTTTGTCTTCCTCCCATCTCCCACCAGGGTGATGTTGGGCAGAAAGGCTTGCCTGGTCCCCCGGGACCCCCTGGCTATGGATCCCAAGGAATTAAAGTAAGTGAATGTAAATGGGATGGAGGCACGCTGGAGAGAAGGGTCGATCACAGCAAACGTGCCTTTTATGAACTGGATCTAATGTGAGCTTAGCTGTTAAAATGGCAGTCGGCATTCAGAAACATCTCCCAGAAGTGTGAAATGGTGCAAGGATAGTAGTTTCACAAATGGCGAACATTATGTAAAACGCTTGGTGAAAAATGTTACAGTTCTAAGGTCTGCTGTTCTCCTTGGTCTCCAAACCGAAAAGACACTTTATGTCTGTCCCCTGTTTTTCCTCCCTCCCTTACTCATCTGTAACTTCCTTTCATAGGCCGAAGCTTCCCAGTCTTAGCTTAGGGTGGAATACGCTGGAAGGGTTGTGGATAATACTGGTACCCTGCTCGGGAAGAACGACAGAGCAGTCTCCAGAGGTGGCTGGTGCAGTTTGAGGACCATGGCTTGCACAGCCTCTCAGGTGCCCCCTGCTTTGAGTTCTGAGTCTGTGTTGGCATTCACGACCATTCGCATTTTGCATTATTTCTGCCCAGCTACGACAAGGTGATCCCCACATCATGGCAGACAAAAATCTGACATCTAAAAAATACTATCTTGTTTTAATTTCCTTTCCTAGTTCAAATCTGCTGACTTTCAAAAGCAAAGCTGGCTCCTTCGCCTCTCCATCTGTGAAATGGACTGTTACTTTTCTCAGACTTAAGTCTAAGACTTAGTAATTGATATTTGATAGTTGGACAATGGAGATTGACTAGAAAAAAGTAGAAACATTGAGAGCTAGCTCTTTTTGAAATAGAATTTCTTAGTAGGATATAGGAGGAGCTATTTACAAAAACAGTATCTGGAAAATAATAACAACAATAAATTCGCAAAAAATATTCTGAATATAAAAGTCCTGTGTTGACGTACGGAGTGAGTTTAGTGAAGAGCAAAACTTCTGAATCTGTATGAAGACTTCAAGTTATCGCACAGTGTCTAAGGGATTCCTTGGCAGGTGTTTAAAATAGCAGTTGTTCATTAGCTGGGTGTAGGACGGAGAACGTGTTGATAAAACAAGAACAAAGCCAAGTGTAGCGAAGCTGCACTTCCTTAGAAACCACACGGTCCTTATCCTCAGGCCTTAAAACCAGCAGGGAAACGTGCTCAGTGTGAGACTTTGCCTGAGTTTACTTAAGAAATGACCCTACATCAGAACCCTGTTCTTGTCACTGACTTGTGCTGAATGTAACTTGTACCACTGGTTCATTTCCTCCACCTCTTGAAATCCAGCGTTTCTCCCCTGGATTATCTGTGAAATGTTTTCTTATTCACACTGGACTGCTTTGGTTCCCACTGAATGAGTCCTTACTGGCTGGGATTCACAGGGTTGTTGTCCTTTCTGTGCCCTTAACATTATGCCACGTGTCAACTCCATTCTGAGGTGGTGGAGGCGAGCACCACAGGGGAAGAGCCAAATTCAGAGCTGCCACATTGCCAGGCCTCTCAGACATGAGACGAGCTCTTCCCCAATGCAGGGCTGTGGCCTGATGCCACTTGGCAGTGACCCCTGACTCCTGATGCCTTGCTAGAGCCTGGCACTCCAGCTGGCCGAGCGCAGGAGTGATTCCCGCAGGACTCCGCCCCCCTTCCCCGACCCTTGGTTGCTCTCACCCCAAGGGGAGAGAACTGAGATCACACTGGATTTAACTCTGAGTCCTGCTAAAGCTGTCTGACCAGTGAAATTTCATTTCTTAGCTGTGTTTGTTGGCTTACTTCCTACTTCTCAGGGTCAACTGCAGCAGCCAACTTGCTTCTGTGCCCATGCAACTGGAGGTCAAACAGGAATGACTTGATCAGGTTGAACAAGACTCACTGTCATACCTTCTTTACAAAGGTGGGTGGGGTTAGAAAAATGGGGAGGTGGAGGGACTCCTTCCCAGACCCATCCTTGTGAAAGAGGATGTATTTCTGGAAACCCCCTTTTCCATCCTTTCCTGGGACTTCCCAGAGTTGCTGCTGTGGATGAATCAGAAAGAAATTCAACATAGTAGTGTCAAGAAGGCATTTATCTGGAGTTTTAAATGGATGGATTACAATTATAATTTAAAAGAATTACAACTTGGAATGCAAATCTGGTTTGGAAAACACAAACAAACAAAAAAAACCACCACCACTACCAAAACCCCCCAGGAATTCAGATTGTAAAGGGTTGTTAAAGGGAAAGACAAAAGAAGACAAAGAGAATTCCAGGCAGTTTGCACAAGTGGCCTTGCTGGGGAAGCTGGCGGACACAGGCAATCACGGTGGGGTTGGTTGCTGTGACCGTCTCTAGGTCAAAGTGCAGTGGAGTAGACCCAGCTGTGCTTCTAGGATGCTTATGTCGTTAGTAGACATGGTCAGATCTAGATGTTCACACTGCATTGTGGGTAGAGATGTGTAGTAGTTCTCCCTCCACTTTTGGAAGGTGGCTGAAGCAGGTGTCCTGGTGCCTCTGTGGGGCTCAGCTGTTCCTCTGCAGCCCTGCGGGACCCCAGCATGGCCACGCTGACTCTGCGCTGTAGAGGAGCACACCTCCAATGGGGCCTCTCTGCCTTCTCCTAACCCTAAGTGTTGTTCATTGGGTCTGTGAATGGGGAGTGTGGCTCTTTCATCCCTAATGATCTTGGTCTTCCCGCTTCATAGTCTAGGCCAGGAAGTTATTATGGGATACAACCCTTTGTCTCACTGTGAGCATGCCACACTCAGTGCTCTCCTGGGAGTGAACTCCAGAGATGTCAGCAATTCTAAAAGTTCAGTCAGCGGGGGAAGGGATCTTGAAATCTTGAGGGATTTCTTGACATGCCAAGTAGCTCTGTAAAGTTCAACTCTAACAAGATCACCGGAAGGGAGGTGATAAGGTGGTGGATTACTTAGGTGGAAAGCCAAGTTGTTGATGGAGATGGGGGCCTCCCCTCCACTTCACTTCCTGCCAGTTAGGCCCCTCTCTCTCCATCCTTGTGCAAGTCAGTTCCCATGTCCTACTCAGCCCTGACACTCCCTTAGCACTATTTTCTCCAAGAATCAGGAGGTCCTTGCCTGAACAAGGTTCCTGGTAGCCTTCCTGGATTTCAGGACTAGCCTTTGGTCTCACGCGTGCTACTCACATGCCCTTTGTGCCTGTATTTGTTCCCACACCCTGGCTTCACTTCCTTTTATAAGTCTGAATGTGGTTGGTGATCATTTCTGTGTAATTGGGCCGTGATGAGGGCTAGGCCATAGCAGGACACCAGATTGTTTCTAGTGTTGAGAAAAATAGAGCCTTCATGCCAAGCTGGCACATCTGGTGAACTTGATCAACAACCCCCATGTCTGCCCAGCTGACAAGTAGTCACCCGGCTAACAGGTCACTCTGACAGCCACCTGGGACCCTTATAAGGCAGGAGGTTTGGTTCTCATTTCTCCCCTCTTTGTACTGATCCCAGTGGTATAATGCAAAGGAGTCTTGTAACAACACAGACCTTGGCCTGAATCTGGACTGTAGTTTTTCCTAGCTTGTATAGACTTGGGAAGAATCATTTTCCAAGCAATCTCAGGTTACCCATTTTTAGGGTTGTGAAGCTGAAATTTTCCAAAGTGTCTAGTACATGGTATGAGTGTGTAACCAGAACTTGGGCCAAGGAGACAATAGATTCTGAGAACTGGATCTATACCCCAGTTTTTGTTTCTTAGTAATGGCAGTAATAGTAGTGTGTTTTCCTAAAGATGTGAGGAATAATTGATATTAAATGAAATAATATTGCAGTGAGCTTGATATATATCCAATAAATATTTACAATTTTCACACTATTATTCCTTCCAGCTTTGCTTCCCTTTCTTTCATGCTTGTATTTCACAAGCAGAAGCCTTGTAATTCTGTGTAATTCACTGTAGCAGTCAAGTAGTTTACTACTTTAAAACATAATATATTTTTTGCTTAGTTAGTGGAGGCCTGACTTCTCTACCAAATATGAGTGATCTTCAATATGTTTGTGGAAGATATAGGTTATCTTTTAATTCATTTTTTCATCAATTTTTTAAAAGCTTCGTCATAGAATCTCAAAGGTATAAGGCTTCAATTCATGAGAAGTTTGGCTCACGTATCAGCCCAGTGTAGGTGTTGCTTTGTTGGTGGGGTAGTTTTCATCCATACAGAATTTCAGAGAACCTTGGTTTCCACTCGGGGTTCCTCCACCTGCTAGGCATCTTTACTGCTTGTATGTAGCAGCAGAGAGGGAGTGTGTAGGAGAGGCATTCCTGCTTTACTTAACCAGCTAGTTACCATCACTTCTGCCCACACTCTGCCAAGGAGAATTAGTTGTATGGCTCTGTTTAATTGTAAGGAAGGCTGGGAAAGATTGAGTGTGGACCCACCATGGGCTGGTGAAGAACTAGCAATTGCTGTCACACTGGACATAGCTCCTTTTTAGGAAAAATGGAAAACTGCAAGTTCTTTCTCTGAAGTATGTTGGTACTTTGGAAAGAAAGTAGAAAATGTAAGTTGTTGTCCCCATGGCAACTTTCAGACTACTCCATCTTTCTCTTGATACTTTGGGGTACAGTTGTCTGGGCTTGTAAGGAGTTAGTTTAGCCCAGTCATTTCTTTCATCCTATAATAAAAGAAAACTTTGAGGGCCTTGATAATCTTTGTATTCATTTCAAGCAGCATCGAGAGTACTAGTAGCTGATTAAAGAGTAATGTGTGTAAGTGGGCTAAGTGCCAGCAAGCAGCTGAAGAGGGCATAGGGTTCAACAGGACTAGAGTAGCAACAGGAAGTGCCCATTCATGTCTATGGTAAAGCCAGGGCCAGAGGGAGAGGGGTTCATGCCATCTGGCTGGTGAGCTGTGGTTCCAAGATGAGAAAGAGAGAGAATATGAATTTGAAAAAGGAGCAAAGCTGGCTTGAAGAGCCTGATTTCAGGAGATAAAGAGGGGATAGCAGTTAGCATCTTATGGCAGTAAAGGAAGTGCTGGAGTCATAGGGGCTGCTGCCTTGGACACCTGGGATGGT